GTCACGTTTACCATCAGGATGTGATTTTCTGCCTTCCTTTCACTCTGTCTCTGTTGGGAAGGGTTCCAGAGTTGTGGAGGCAGCGCTGGGCCACCAACACCTCACCGCACCCCCACATTTTACATTGTGCACTCACAGTGATGAGTTGCTCTTTATTCCGTTCTCCTGTGTACCTATACCAGTCTCCCACTGCTCCTCATTCCCTCTCCTCACCTGTCTTCCACAGCCTTTATTCTCCAGCCCATCCCACAGAGTTATGGGTAGCAAATACACAGAGATATGGTTGTACAATCAAAGGATGTAAAGCCCTTCCCTCAGGGGAAACTTTTAGGCCAAAAATCTAACTCGAAGGAGAGATCAGCTCAAGGGCAGGATTTTCTCTAAGAACATATTTTTTCTTTGCTTAGTTAATATTCATTGAAACAGTCATCTTAAATTTACACTTACTCTTTCTGTTCATTTTGAATGAAGTAAGAGATCTATTACGTTTATAGGGTGTCTCCTATAGCTCCCAGACTACACTCCCCAGGACAGGTTAGTCCTTCCTAAGCACAGCAGGATCCTTATCCAGTTGCTTATGTTTGGATCATAATGGAATTTGTTATGGTGCTTACCTGTTCCTTTTCAATGCCAGGGTAGCTCACAGCTATCCTGGGTCCATTCAGTCTCTTGCTTTTGGGGTGCGAAGAATAAAGGGCAGCTGAGGCTTAAGTCTCATAAACATGGCAATGCCCAGGAGTATATAATATCTGCAGTCAATTAACTCTGAAGTTACAAAAGCATAATATTGCCTTCCTTTGTGTATACAAAGCTGAAGGCTGGGGGCATGGCCATCCCAATCCTCCCAGCACAATCTTCCCAACCTGGGACTGCACTGGTCCTTGTTCAGGAGCAAAAAAGGGTATTTTTTCTAAAGTAAACTGTAGAGGATAGAAAGGAAATAGAAAGTCAACATTTTATTTACAAATACAAAATCCAGAGATCTTTGAAGAATCTGACTTTACAGTTCACAGGTTGTGGTTATGGGAAATGGGTGAATAATGTATAGGGGAAGCAGAGCACAGGGAATTTAAAGATGAATACTAAGGAAATGGGAGTGATTGGGATGGGTATTACTCAGTTAGCCTCAGCACCTTGTAGCAGAGGAGAAATGATGAACCAACATTAAACCTAAATTGTTTAGAACTAGAATCCAAACAGGGTAGAAGGTTTTGTTTTTTTAAGCAAGAAAGTTTTGGTTTTCCAGGAGTCAGGACATTTGCTCAGAAATCTCACTGGGTGTGGTAGGAGTATATTTACTTAGGACTTGAGCCATAGTACAGTGAGTACGAACTTAACCATCCAAGCAATCAACCCAAATTCTATCCCCTGCATCCCATAATGTCTGTACCAGTGTGATTCCTGCATGTAGAGCTAAGAGTAAGCACTGAATCTGCCGGTTGTGGCCCCAAAACAAAAATCACACAAAGTCACAGTTATATATACACATATATATGCACAAACAATGGTGAAAGAACAATAGGGATTCAGGAGAAACTGTGAGTTTCTGTAGCAGGGATAGATCAAAAATAGGGGATTTTTTTTCTTTTTTGGGTCACACCTGGCAATGCACAGGGATTACTCTTGGCTTTGCATCGAGGAGTGCTCAGGGGACCATACGGGATGCTGGGAATTGAACCTGGGTTTGTCGCGTGCAAGGCAAATACACTACCCGCTGTGCTGTCTCTCCAGCCCCAGGGATAGGGAAGTTTTAAGGACCAGAAATTTGAGTCTTTTAATATTTCACTCTCAAATTTGTCTTTGTACATCATTTTTCCCCCCTTCAGTGGAATTTGCCTTTTTCCTTGTTATTTTTTTTTCACCGCAGCCTACAGTGCTCAGTGTTTACTCTTGTCTCTGAGCTCAGGGATCATTTGACAGGAGTCAGGGTAACACTCTGTGTTTAGATATCATTGGTTTGATGTTAGGTGACAATGCAGGATCAGGGGACTTCTCTTTACCCCCAGGCCCCCAGTGTGTGACTGACCAGTCCAGCATTTGCCTCTCCACTCCTTTATTCGAGTCCATCCCACTTGCACCACAGATTCACCTGGGTGGCAAAAAGGTTCTCAGTGCATAGACTCTGGCTCTTTAAGGCACCTTATGGAAACGGAAGTGATGTCATAAGTGATGTCATAAATGTCATAGTTCATTTTCCATCCCTGACACAGACACTGGGGCTGTTGCTCACTTGGCAAAGGAAAAGTATATTTGCGTCCCATCCTGGAAGGGGGACTCTGAAGAAGGATTTAGTTGCAGGACTCGAGCAACCTCCTGTGAGCATCCTGCGCCTTCCCATTTCTACACTCTGAGCCGAGGGGCCGAGCCAAATTGGGGGGCACTTTTGTGCTGTTTTTTCACTTATTCGCCAACATTCAAGTGGATTTTGAGGTGTGATGGAGGTTGTAGGTGGATGCAGAGCTTTGGGGGTGCAGTGGGGGTTGTGACAGGAGTGACAGTTGTGAGTTCGTGATTCTGGCGTGCCTCTTTCGCCACGATCGTCTTCAGCTCCAGGATGGGGCAACAGTGGTGAATGTGGGAATCATCCGAGGGCTTGGCTGTTCCAACTGTCCCAGCAGTCCCATGTTTGAACCATCGGTCTTAAGCTCGCTTCTGTAGAATCTCCAGTTTTGAGGGGCAGAGCTTCAGCCCCTCCACCTAATGGCAGGAGACCTGTTGCTGGTCATCTTCATTGTCTGCCGTGATAGCCACGATCATGCGGGGTATGTGGGGGGGAAGGGGGCCTACAGGTGGCTGAGGTTTGCCAATGAAAATGTATTTGGGGGGCTATTTTTGGTTCTTTATATTTTAGGGGGAGAGAGAGCACATACGCGGAGATGCTCATGAGTTACTCAAGTCTCTAAGCTCAGGTATTATCTCTGGTGCTGCTGGGGGCCATATGGGATACAGAGGATTGATCGGTTCATCTAATCAAGCACCCAGTTTACATTATTGCCTCCTAACCAAAATACCGATGTATCTTTTTCTGGTTCATGAATTTCAGGTCCCTCACATCAAGCTGCAAAGCACCTCTGACTCTTCATCTCTCCCTGAGCAGACAACACCTGCCATTGTGGTAAATACTGAGGTCCCCAGGACAGAGTGCCCAGGTGTATGTCCTTGTCTACCCTGCAAGTGAGTGTGGAAGGTTTGTTCACTCTAAGTCACATGGTGGAGCCACATTCCAGGCTACGGTTCCCACGGGGCAGCACTGCTGCCAGCCTGCAGGGGGGCGCTAGTATTTGGGAGCTCCTGGGCTGAGAGTCGGCCCCTGGAAGGGCCTACAGGGACTTCCCTGTCGGAGTCAGAGAGGAATCCAGGGATCACAGAAGTCTGTCTTTTCCTCCTCTGTAGCCTGGGCCCAGGCTCCTCTCCTGAAGTGCAGCACAGATTCCAACAAAATTTGCATCCCCAGCGGAGACAGGAGCTTCTGCCATTGTCTCCCAGAGGTGGAATTGTGAGGCTGTGCCCAAGGGTGTGGCTAGTCTGAGCTCAGGAGTGGGAGGAGGTGCTGCTCTCTTGTGCTCACTATTCTTACTTCTCCAATTCTTTGCACGGAGCCTCCTGCTGATCCTCAGAACGACAGTGACAGGAGAAGATGGTGACGCGGCTTCTGATAAGCCGTCCCCAGGTAGTAGTAGATGGATAGAATGACATGAGGTAGTACCAGGAGTGCCCAGGCTTCCAGGGCCATCTATTTGGGTTTCTTTTGGACGGATTCCAAGATGAGACCTCCGATCAGATCGCCCCATTCTGCTGTTTGAAGCTGCTTTTGTGTATGTTTGTTTTGTTTTATTTGGCTTTGGGGCCGACCCAGTGGTGCATGAGGAATACTCAAAGCTCAGTGCTGAATGTTCATTCCTGACAGATCTAGGTGACCAATGGGATGCTGGAGGTCCAAAGGTTTCATCTTGGGTTTTCTGTTTTATTTGGGGTGGCAGAGCAAGAATTCTCGCAATCATTCCTTGTGCTGCACTCTGGCATTGCCCCTGGCAGTACTTGTGGGACCATATGGGATGTTGGGGACCGCCAGTCCTACGTGCTCTCCCCGGAACATCTGTCCTGTTATGCTAACCTGATGCTTTGGTTTCTTTTGCATTGTTTTTGTCATCAGCTGTCCTCTTGACTCTGTGCTCTGGATTCACAACTGACTGGCCTCAGAGCACCCTGGGGTGTGCTGGCCCTGTTTGCACCCTGGCAACTACAGTGACTTGGGCCCCCAGCCTTGCTTTTCTCTTGTTTTGTCCTTCCTACTTTGCAGAGACTGCCTGCTCGGTCATATAGTCTTATGTTCACATAATCTTGTGTGTGGATTTCTGGGCATGCGCCAATCCCAATGAGAAAGAGCCAAGGATCTCTGAGGCCAGTAGGATGTTGGGGTCCAGAAACTTCTACCTTCTTTGAGCGGGATTTGGGCCGGTCCTGAGCAGTGAGTTCCTACAGGCACACATGCCATGCACTGCTATGGGTAGTTGTCTATATGGACTCTTGAGTTCTCAATCCTAGTGGTCATGTGCTGTGGGAGTGCAGCGGTGAGCGTGCAGTGGTTTTTGCTACACCCAGGGATAGTCTTTTGGATCGCACAAGTCTGTGTTCAGGTGATCCTCTCTACATTGCTCACTGGACCAGTGGTGCACAAGTTGGTCCTGGGGTTACCAGGAAAGGCAGATACATCCAAGAACCTTCTGTATAACGTCCTCCCACTTTAGCAGAACTAGCTGCCTTATGTGATTTCTGGGGCCCGTCAGTCATAGGTGTGCATGGAGGCTGGTTCATTTGGAGGGGAGAGGCCAAGCAACAATATCGGACCCTGGGTCCTGGCCTCAGAGTAGTGTGAATGAGGCTAAGATAGACTCTGTCTCCCACCCTTCCTGTGTGTTGACTCAGGACACAGTGACCTTCCATGACGTGGCTGTGAACTTCACCCCGGAGGAATGGTCATACCTGGCGACCTCTCAGCAGAAGCTCTACAGGGACGTGATGCTGGAGATCTACCAGCATCTGCAGGCTGTCGGTGAGAGCAGTGTGGAGCCAGCCGTGTCTGAAAAGACCCACATGTGCTCCCTGGGGTTGGGCGGCAGCTGTGTGTCCAACAGTAGCTCTGTGACAGTTTGGGATGTTGGACACCGTGCAGTAGCTGTTCCCTCCCTGGTTTATTTTTAGTGTTCACCTGTGTATACTCAGGGTTTACTCTCAGCTCTGTCCTCAGAAATCATTCTTGTGGGGTAGCAGTACTCTACGGGGTGATTCAGATCAACCCATTTCAACTGTGTCCATGGGAGGATCCCTATCTGCCCAGATATCGCCCAGGTCCCTTTAAATAGTTCCATCCATTGGTGAATCAATTTACTTTGTGTACTACACGAAATTTTGTGTGTTTAATTGGTTTTGCTGTTGTCTTTGTTTGGGGGGCACAGTCCACAATTCTCCTGGCTCTCTGCTAACGGATGACTCCTAAGAGTGCTCAGGGGCCATGGTGTACTGTGGACTTGGCAACTTAAAATGTTGGTGCCTCACCATAGGGGATTTGCTATCTCGTCTCTCAACACATTAGTCGCTGCCCTATTTCAGTGCTTGGATTTACTTCTAATGGTTCTTGTGAGACTTCTGCAGGACTTAGGGTTTGCTCCTGAACTCTGCACTCAGGAATCACTCCTGGCTGGCATGAGGGACCCTACATGATATCAGGTATTGCAACTGGATTGGCCGTGAGAAACTCCTGCAGTGCTCACTTTCTGGATACATTTTTTAGCTTAAAACATAAGGGTCTTTTGCCACGCTTAGCCATTTCCATATTTATTATGCACTTAGTTTTACTGAAATCTGTGATGAGTTCATGAGGGGCTCAGGAAACTCCATGTGCTGCTGGGCCTAGAAAGACAGTACAAGGAGGAAAGTGATATTCTTGCAAGCGGCACACGTGGGTTAAATCCCCGGCATCCCATATCATCCCCGAGCACCAGCAGCAGTAATTTCTGAATACAGAGTCAGGAGTCACCTCTGGTCATTGCCAGGTGAGACCCCAAACAAGACAAAAACCAACAACATACTGAGCTGATCAGCCCCTTGTCGGCCATACACAAGGCCATGTCTAGAGTATTTGTGGTATTTTCCTGGGTCTTACCTCTCGAATAACTAGAAATATGTGGCATTTTGGAAATGGACATTCTGTTTATGCCTTTCAGATATTTGCACATTTATATCAGGAAAACATGGGTATTTACATTTCACGTTTTCCTGTCACTTATCCATGTCTCTGTCTCTGTCGGGGCAGGGCACTCTGGGATGAAGCCTGCGGTGATCTCCTGGCTGGAAGGAGGAGCTCTGAGGTCAGGGAGGAGAGGCGTGTGTGTGGGTGAGTGTCTGAGGGCCCTTCCTGGCTCAGGCCCTGTGCAGTGTATGGTTGCCCTGAGCATGTATGAAACACGTTGCTGAGACCGGGGCCTTGGTCTCCTGGATCCTTGGGTCTGTGACGCACTAACGCTGCTCTTCATTCCCCTGGACTGTCAGTTACAGAATGATCCTATAATTTGCTTCCATGGTTTTCAAATAAATAAGACCATAATAGTATGGATGTGAATGATAGTACATCAGGGAGTGCCTTGCAATTCCTGAAGGTGACCTGTTCAATAATTTGTTCAATAACCTGGTTCCCCGAACATTATTAGGTCTGCTCAAAAACAAAAACAAAACCTAGTGTAGAATTGCCAAGATACTCACAGTTTTCCACTCTCCGAATCTGTTCTTTAGTGTGGGACTCTTTGGACTTTGAGAACCACAGATATGTACTCTTAACTACATGGCATCATTTTGCTACATTTTTTGACATGTGCTTGAATTGCATGTTTTGTTCAGTTTCAGAAATGAAACCGCGACTTCAGGATTTGACATTACAGCACTTTGATTTGGGAATGGGGTCAGCAAGTACGAGTGAGTTGGTAAGATTCGCTAATTCAGAATAAATATTATTATGCCAGCAGGAGTGGACCAACTGTGTGATTGTTAAGGTGGAAGGCTGGGAGTGGCAGGGAGGAATTCCAAAGCCTGATGCTTGGAGTAGAGGACCCTTAGCTTCACTAGGTGCTGAAATCAACCATGTATAAAAATACTGTGAGTTTTGATTTGCTTGACAGTGGTAGTTGTATAGAAAGCTAATTTGTGCGCCCTGTAGATCGTGCAGTGAGAAATATACTTCCTTTGCACAGGGATGGATGGTCCTTAACCAGCACGCCTTATCGACAGCATAGACCCACAGAACTGATCCTAGATTCTGCATGGTGTGCCCCTCCACCCACTCAACACCCAATAAATAGAAACTACAAAACAGAAAGAACAAAAAACTTCATTGTTCCTGAAAGCCATCACTTTTGGTAAGAGCTTTGCAATGGCCACGTGGTCTGTCTCAGCTGCGTGACGATGCAGCGTTGTCTTCACCCCTGCATCATAGGTTCCACACTGGACTTTAACCAAATCCACATATGTATCTATTTCATTTTCTCTTGAAATGGATGTATCCATTTTCTATAGAAGGAATTATTTCCAGTTGTATTCCTTCATTAATTTAAAGGGGGGGAAGTCACAGAATTTACTGACTCTGCATCCATCAATTTTGTGTGTCCAACTTACAGTAACATGAAGTTACTCTATAGTAAGACAATTCATATATCAGTAATTGCATTTGTTTGGTGCATATGTGTGAAAGCACAACTGAAGGGCTCAGTTTTTTGACAGGAAGACTCAGTGAATAAGTCAATAATTAGAATCCTCTGTTGTTCTGCAGGAAAGCTGCCACCCCGAGTGGAATGTCTCTGATCCTACACTGTATGATAATGTCTCGAGTGAGCAATCCTGCCCTCAGCCCCATGAGGACACCGAGACAGGCGGGATGTCTTCTGAGGGTGAGCAGAATGGCGAGAGCTACCTCACTCTGAAGAAGCCCTTTCCTGGAAAAAGTTCCTTGGAGTGTGTTATTCTCAGTTCAAAGGCACAAATTCTGCTGTGAGTCTGTCACAGCAACATACCCTGAACCACAGTCACCGTGAGCAGAAACCATCAAAGTGTAAGGAATGTTGGGGAGCCTCCCCATGTTCTCAGCACTGTGGTGTTCCCTTAGAAAACCACAGTGGACAGAATCCCCAGAAAAGTCAGCCCCGAGAACAAAGTGTGAGTCAAGTGTTACTCCATCATGACCATATGAATATAAATCCAGGAGCGAAACCTTTTGCATGTGAAAAATGTGGGAAGGCCTTTGATCAATAATCACATCTATTTATCCATAGGAGAATTCATACAGGAGAAAAACCTCATGAATATCAGACATGTGGAAAGGTCTTTATTGAGACCTCGAGTCTTAATACACCTATGAAAACTCATAGTGGAGAGAAGCCTTCTATATGTCAGGAGTGTGATAATGCCTTTACTCGATCCTCAGGCCTCAGTATACATAGAAGTATTCACACTGGAGAGAAACCATATATATGTAAGGAATGTGGAAAGGCCTTTGCTAGAGCCTCAGGCGTCAGTATACATAGGAGAATTCACACTGGAGAGAACCGTATATATGTAAGGAATGTGGGAAGACCTTTGCTGTAGCCTCAAAACTTACTGTACATAGGAGAATTCACACTGGAGAGAAACCGTATATATGTAAGGAATGTGGGAAGTCCTTTCAGAAGCCTCAAGCCTTAGTGTACATAGGAGAATTCACACTGAAGAGAAACTGTATATATGTAAGGAATGTGGGAAGGCCTTTGCTACAGCCTCAAAACTTACTGTACATAGGAGACTTCACATTGGAGAGAAACCTTATATATGTAAGGAATGTGGGAAGTCCTTTGCTGAAGCCTCAAGACTTAGTGTACATAGGAGAAGTCACAGTGGAGAGAAACCGTATATATGTAAGGAATGTGGGAAGGCCTTCGCTGGAGCGTCAACAATTCGTGAACATAGGAAAATTCCACACTGGAGAGAAACTATATATTTGTAAGGAATGTGGAAAGGCCTTTGCTGGAGCATCAAGACTTACGGCACATATGAAATTTCATCTCACAGAGAACCCTCATCAGTGTCAGACATGTGGGAAGGGATTCACACGGTTCTCTTCCCTTACTCTACAGATGAGAATTCATAATGGAGAGAAGCCTTAGATATGTCTGGAGTGCGAAAAGGCCTTTACTTCATCCTCACAATTGACTGTACATAGGAGAATTCACAGTGGAGAGAAACCGTATATATGTAAGGAATGTGGGAAGTCCTTTGCTGAAGCCTCAAGCCTTAGTGTACATAGGAGAATTCACACTGGAGAGAAACTATATATGTAAGGAATGTGGAAGGCCTCTGTATGTCCTCAATACTTAATGTACATAGGAGAATACACACTGGAGAGAAACCGTATACATATAAAAGTGTGGAAAGGCTTTTTGAGAACCTTCAGATGTAGTGTACATATGAACATTTATGCCGGAAAAAAACTTATATATGCGAGGAATATTGTAAGGCCTTCTGCCGTTCTGAATCCTTGCTAAGTACAGGAATATTCACAGTGGAGGGAAACCTTATCAGTGTCAGACTTGTGGGAAGGCCTTCATTTGGTGCTATTCTCTTACTCAGTATGTGAGAATTCGTACTGGAGACCAACTCCATATATGTCAGGAATGTGGAAGGGCTTCATGTACCCCTCAAACCTTAATAAACATAAAAGTTCATACTGGATGATTTGATTCCTTGATAACAGTCTCTAAGGACAGAACAGGACAAATCAATCAATCAAGTTTCCTTTGAACACGATGGTCAAGGATGTTAAAAAAAAAAGTGCAGTTAAGAGGGAAGTAAGCCTGCCTGCTTGGGACAGGCTTCTCATGTTATTGAAATGTAACTGCTGATTTTCACCCGGGCTCCACCTATGCCAGTATTCTAGTGCTTGGAATTGCTTGTGTGTTAACTTGTAAATAATGGGTCCTGGTGATGAAAATAAGGAGGAATGTTACTGAATAATCAGATACAGAAACACCCCCA